TGTAATCGTATAGACGAATCCGTATCAGCCATCGGGCGATGGTCGGGTCTGTCAGACTAAAGTCCTTTTGGAGGACTGAGGCAACTGCGGTAGGGTCTACTCTCAAGATGAACCGTCGCCCATAGATGTAGTGCCTGAACGTATCTAGACACCGTAGAACAGCTAACACCTCTTTCTTGAATTGACTGTAGTTATGCTCAGCCGTATTAAGTGTCCTACTCTCGAATCTTAACGGTCTTTCCTTCCCTTCAGCGTCCTTCTGAGACAGCAAACCACCCACTGAACATGGTCCAGCATCCGTGGATACTATGAAAGGTCTCTCGGTCTCATCGTCAAAGAATGGCACACCCAACACTCGCCCTCCTTCCTTAAATTCGTCCTTAAGTTCTTGCATTGCGAGTTCCTGCGAAGCATCCCAGTAAAATTTTTCAGTCTTTCGAAGGAGTAACCTCAATGGCTCAGCCTTCTCCGCATATCCCCGTATGAATATTCGCCAGTATCCGACTACTCCTAGAAACTGCCGGACCTCGGTTGGGCTATGTAGCGGCGACGGCCAGTTCAGAAGTTTGTCTAACTTCGCCGGGTCTGCTCGGCGCCCTCTCGAGTCACATATAAACCCCAAGATCTTTATAGTTGAAACGGCCCATCGGCTCTTTGTTTTGCTAACTGTTAAATTGGCATCGTCCAGCTGCTCGAGCACCGCGAAAATATCTGTTAGATGCTGCTCGAMGAATCTCCTGACTCCAGGTACGACCTCCTTCTCATCCCTGTCTACTGACCCTTTTATAGGGAAGTCATCCAGAAAAACTTCAACCTTATCAGGGATGAAGTTCTTGAGGACAGCTACCATGGCTCTCTGAAAAACGGCTACCCCATTAGTCMAACCCATAGGGACGACCATCATCTGAATTAGTCYCAATGGCGTATGCATAGCCGTGAGGTGCCTGTCCCTAGGGTCAAGCGGTACCTCATCATATCCTGAGAACAGATCGCAGACCGAATAGATCGACCTACCGGCTGCGCCTTCTGCCAGTAAATCGGCGTGTGGCACGGAGCCCACGTCTCGTATCGTCACCTCGTTGACCTTCTGAAGGTCCTGGATCCATCGGATCTTGCCATTCGGCTTACGCAGGAAGAACCATCGATTTGCATAAGCACTATCAGACGGCTCCGCGACATGGGATACCATCTTCCCTTTCAGGAAAGCGATAACTTCTTCCTTCTCCTTCTGGGCATATTTCCATCCCGCGTCATTCCAGGGAACATGTGGTATCGTGTAAATCCTTGCTGGCTTCGCGTATCGAGGGTCAACCCTACCTCGCTCCGCGTCGCTGAAAGCTATTGCCTTATCACATGTTTTCAGAATCTCTATCACTCGTTCTCGCTCTTGTGGGGTCAAATTTCCATCTCCGATGTCCATCCCTGCTATCCTATCATCCGTCAGGCGTTGTGGCTCCTTTCTCTTCCTTTCTTTGATTTATTTCGCGATCTCTTCTTCCGATATCCCTTCCAGTGGAGATCGCTTGCGGCCCACCGCCGCCGGCTTAACTTTTTGAGTTACTCGCTTGTGTCGCTTAGGCGGCCCCCCGTAGGGGGCCGTGCCCTTAAAAAAGACACGGATACCACACCGCCTAATTCCTCATCTTCTTCCTTTGGGTATGAGTTGCCATCCACTATTAACCGACTCCCTAAATCTTCTACCTCGACGATTCGGCCTTCTTCCTCTGTGAGCAGTGGTCCATACTCCTTCTCGCGAAATNCCTTCTTCCTCTGTGAGCAGTGGTCCATACTCCTTCTCGCGAAATCGCACCGCGCGGCTGGAGATAGGTAAAGACCTAACCTGATCACTGGGTCTTGCACCCACAGCGAGAGCTGCTCTGTTCCTCGGGTCCCGAGGCTCCACCGTCTCAATCATCACTCGCGTCCCGTCTGGCTTCTTAATGGACAATGTTTGGCTCCCGTCAGGTCGCTCTATCGTCACCGCATGCACGTGGCTTAACCACGTCCGTCCCAAGAGCAGGTCAGAGCTGCAGTTCTTGACTGCAAAGACAGGCAGGTTTACTCGTACCCCTTGGACTTCTATGACTGCCTTGTGATAAACCCCAGTGATCTGTTGCTTTCTACCATCAGCCGTCTCTATCTCGAATAGATACGACCTATCGAGGCCCAGCCCAACCTGCACTGCCAGGTCGTCGTCTATGATAACAGCCTCACTGCCGTTATCGATCACAGCATCAAGTATCGCTCCATCGTTTATAATCGTCTCCACGGCCCCACTACCAAGTATATAAAATTTGTTTGGAGGCACACCTTCCATTCCATCGAGAAGGACTGTTGCCATGCGATCCGCTCTGGCAGTCACCCCCGTCACTGCTACTGTAGAAGCTTCTGCCTCAGGGGCCCCTTGACCCTCCTCTGATAGAGGTATGCGAGTCTTCCGCCTTAATATTAAAATTAATGAAACCCGAGGCTTCATTCCCGTGCCAGTTGCGCAACATAAAAGGGACCACACCTAGGCCTATTCTCATATCACCGTTCTGCGGCCAGTTGTTTCGGAAACAAGCTCGGAGCGGCGGAAATAAGATAGACGCCAGCGCGGTAGAAGAGGTAGTCTCTCTCGCCAATTCTGAGGGCTAGTCTCACCGATCGACACCTCCAATCTTAGGGGTGCTCTGGGTCCCCCTAATTTTGCTGCCTGGTCAAACCAGAATACTGTCATTGCACGGACTTGTCCTTGTGCCTAAGTTCCAAAACTGCCACTTTCAGGCGGCGCACTACTTGTGGCCGCCTGACACCGGTTTGCATCGAGATCGCAGAGTCAACATCACTGTAAGAAGCTTTTATCTCAGTACAGGAAAGGATTAACCACACCACCTAGTACAACCCCTACGCCTAAGAGGTAAGTGCTACATAGTTAGCCTATGCACATCTGCCAATGAGCTTGACACACAGGTCGGCTATAGCTGCCCTAGTCACCATGTTCGACCAGGAGCTCACGTTACCGTGAAGATGATAACCATGCAACATCAGCCACACGGCTTGAGCACATTACTGGGCAGCCTCCTGAGCCTCGATCTGGTATCAGGCTGGACCGCAAGTGCTAATGCAACACCGACCGCTCGGGTCTACTTCCTCGCTCGTTGTGTTTGCACACACAGGTCCTGCCAATTTCAACATCCAAAGATCAGCAGTCAAGAAAATCAAAATATATCGGTGCGCAGTGTCACAACCGCTGCCCAATTAGCTATAGGTTTTTGTTTTTGATACAAAGTTGCACTTGTACCAACATCGTATTTTGCATCTGCAAATGCCAGCAGCCTGGTGAGCACGCCACTTAGCATTTTGTGATCAAATCCCGGGGTCGGGTCACATTAGGTACAGGATTGGCGGCCGTTTACGATGTGTCCTGCATGAGTTGTTAGGTAATGACGGCTTCGCTGTCCACGTTGTTAGTTTTTGCATGAGTAAGGTGTTGGTGGTAACCTATTATCACTCACGCTGTCTTATCAAGGATCAACCTCTGTGCAATTTGCGCTTTGCTGCACGAGTCTCTCTCTCTCTCAAAATTCTGACAATAATTGGCATGTTTCACAGAATGGTGCGAACACATATGATGTCGCAGATTTGACCACGGTAATGAAGCTGTCTTGTAAGGAACTAAGACAAATGGACTACCCATGGAAGATAACCCACATGGCGAGTGTGGCGTTCATCGGAAACTGCAATGACACCGAAGTCCGGAATAAATTTTGTGAGTGTCAGAAAGCAGAAGAAACACCAATCGAGAAATGATATAAAAGAGAAACATAAAAGCGACAAAAGGAGAAAAAAAAACGCGCATGCGACGGAAAAACCTAAACAATCACATAAAGGACCAACAAAATCTACAGATATAATGATGTAAGAAGTACCGAATGGATTTCCCAGCATACACATTAACTGTATCGAATCGAAACCCAAGATAATTATATGTTTCCAAAGTACAGGCGACAGAAAACTGAAAGTACTCACCTGAGATATAATGATGAAACCCACGACCGAGCGAATGACAAAAACAACAAACAAAGCTAAATACAAGTCAGATATAAACACAAATTTTCGACAAAATCTCGACAGAAATACGGTCGAAAGGAAAAGCAACTTAATCGAGTACCGAATTCCGACCAAAAGAGAAATAGAAATAGGAAATGACATTAGGACAGACCCGTACGCAGGAGGAAGACATTATATACAGCAAGTCGATGACCACGGGAAATCATCAACAACGACAAGGGCAGTACAGAGCGCGACTACGGAAAACTCAGAGGCAACGATGATGAGGACGCTGCAGGGAACGAGGACAAGTAGGTCGGAAGGATAAGGAATAGGGTATAAATTCAGGGACAATGGCTGAAAGGATTACCTGAGCAGTGAGGTAGAAGGGTAGTCGCGACAGTTGTCGCATCCCATGGATAGAACGTGTATACTGCTAAAGTAAAACCTCGCACGTGTTGTCTATTGTTGCAAGTGTGTATCTCAAGGCACAGTGCTTCGAACTTGCAGGCGGTACCCGCGATGATCGGCACTGGATCTAAGGGATTTATCATATTTTATCTTTCTATCTTTCTATTATCTGTCTTTCTATTCTCATCTCTCATCCTCTAGTACACGTGACATAGCTTGTCCATCAGTATATTCACATCGGATTACTCATTTGGCGGTTTTCAACATGAAGTGGAGATTTTTCTAGCGTGGAGATTACATAGCGAATTTGGAGATTCTCGTGCACTACCTTAGCGATTTGGAGATTGTTTGGATCTGCATCGGTCGACTTTCCTTACTCATTATTGATCAACAACGAGGAGTTTACCCGAACGTCCGAATACTTCAGGGAAGATGGCGCGATGACGTTCATCGTCGGACAGAAGGAGGCGCAGACACTCATCACCGTTCTCTGGATCGCACGAAAGAAAACGCTCAAGACGAGGGAGATCGAGGACTCTGAGAGATCGACGACATAGATCAAGATCTCTATCATCCAGGAGGAAGAGGGCAGAATCGGAGTCCCCAAAGCGTTTGGCTCGTCCACAATGGGAGCAACGACGTAATGATTTCCCTCCACCGAGAAATCACGTATGGTTACGGTCGACCTGAAGGAAGAAATATTCAAGCGAAGACAAAAAATGGACAAAGTGTTGAAGACACTAGAGCAACTCACCATGAAGCCAGCGGATGAGAAATCAACGCAGCATGAGAAAAACGATGGAAGCACGAAGAGATCGGCGGCGGCACCTGGCGAAAGATCCAATCACCGCATCTGAGCTCAAATCAATCATTGACAGAGCACTGAGAGTTGATCTGTCGAGTACAAAGCAGGTGAGGACGGCGCAAGTTCCGAACACGCAAGCAGGGACGAGCGAAGCAGGACAGAAGGCAACTGAAGACGAAGGCAAAGTGGAGAAATTTATGTAGGAGGTGCGGAAAGACGTGAACGACCTCAAGCTCCTCAAGTACGATCTTGCGACAGTAAAAGGCGCATTGCAGAAGATGAATGAACCAACAAGGACGGGAAAACCAATAGCATCATCATCCGTTCATCCATTCATCAGACACATCGTCAAGCACTGAAGACATCTCGGGAAGGTGAATGAGTCACCCCCGGCGGGTGATCTCACCACGACACAGAAATGAGAGCAAATTCACCGACTAGCAATGACGATAGAACGACTAGTGAATACGGGTAAGATAAGTAGATGCCATTCACACAATGAACAATACAGACTCTTGTTTATCTCACTAACACAATGAATTACGATGTGATGATCATAATAATAGAAGATAAATAAAGAAAATCAGGAGAAAGAATTGAGATGCATAGAATCGTTCAGAACATGTTATCACCATTCACTGAAGCTTGAATCAACATCAGAGAAGGAAAGTACTAAGTGGACATATCTCGAAACCACGATATCAAAGATGAATCACGAACCCCTCCTGAAGTGTACACATAAACTGAAGAACAAAGCAACACTCCATGAGGGATTGTTGAACTCTCTCTCTCTCAGGACATTGCGTCACTTCAGGAGTGCTGGTTCCGAGAAAACAAAAATTTTGACGAGAAAACAAAAGTTATGACAGTAATTGGCATGTTTCACAGAATGATGCGAACACATATGATGTCGCAGATCTGACCACGGTAATGAAGTTGTCTTGTAATAAACTCAGACAGATGGACTACTGATGGAAGATAACCCGCACAACGAGTGTGGCGTTCATCAGAAACTGCAAGGACATCGAAGTCCGCAATAAATTTTGTGAGTGTCGAGAAGCAGAAGAAACACCAATCGAGAAATGATATAAAAGAGAAACATAAAAGCGACAAAAGGAAAAAGAAAAACGCGCATGCGACAGAAAAACCTAGAAAATCACATAAAGGACCAACAAAATCTACAGACATAATAATGTAAGAAGTACCGGATGGATTTCCCAGCATACGCAGTAAATGAATCGAATCGAAACCCAGGATAATTATACGTTTCCAAAATACAAGCAACAAAAAAATGAAAGTACTCACCTGAGATGTAATGATGAAACCCACGACCGCGCGAATGACAAAAGCAACAAACAAAGCCAAATACAAGCCAGTAATACGAGTCAGATATAAACACGAAAATTTTTGACAAAATCTCGACAGAAATACGGCCGAAAGGGAAAGCAACTGAATCGAGTACCGAATTCCGACCAAAAGAGAAATAGAAATAGGAAATGACATTAGGACAAAAGCGTACGCAGGAGGAAGACGTTATATACAACAATTCGACGACCACGGGAAATCATCAACGACGACAAGGGCAGTACAGAGCGCGAGTACGGAAAACTCAGAGGCCACGATGATGAGGATGCTGCAAGGAATGAGGACAAGTAGGTGGGAAGGATAAGGAATAGGGTATAAATTCAGGGACAATGGCTGAAAGGATTACCTGAGCAGTGAGGTAGATGGGTAGTCGCGACAGTTGTCACATGCCATGGACAAGACGTGTATACTGCGAAAGTAAAACCTCGCACGTGTTGTCTATTGTTGCAAGTGTGTGTGTGTGTGTGTCTCTCTCTCTCTCTCTCTCTCTCTCTCTCTCTCTCTCTCTTTCTCTCTCTCTCTCTCTCTCTTTGTGTGTCTGTGTGTGTGTTCTCGTTCCTTCCTTCGTGGGAAGGTCCCGAAGAGCATGCATTGAATTGCGACATGCAACTCATAAGGCATAGACGATTGCTGAATATTCTCATCGTTCTTTAGGTAGTGACGACCTGTGTTGCTTTGGCTTTCTTGCTTTTTTCTCGCACATATTCGATTCACCACGTAGTCATTTTGGGTTTCCCGACTTTGTTTCTGTTTGCTTGGTAGGTAGCGTTCTGTTATATTCTATGTGCGGGTATCCTGAAGGTTTTTGTCATCCGTCAACTGCCCCGTCAATTCCCCACACCATTTTTTGTTATTCGAACTTCCCAGTGATCGGCTTTAGTGCAGCACACATCACC